GTTTCTTGTGCTGTATGTGGTGCCTGGTAATTTAAGTTGGAGCTATTTCTTTAGGTGGCAATACGGATAAACCTTAGATCGCTTCAGCGTGGCTGTAAATATGCGAGGAGTACAGAGTTACTGAAGATAAGAGAATTCAGGTGAATGAGCCCCGGGTCACCTGCTCCAGTTAATAACCTGTTTGTAAGCCGTGTATTGACTTTATAAACTATTTTGTTGTTCTCTAAGGCCATCTTAGCAAAGTGAAATGTGGTGGTTGTGTCCAGATCATCATAATGAGTGTGTGCTCTGCAACTGCTCTAGGTAATTTCTGCATGATTAAGAATTTTAAGTTTACTAGCGGTGAAAGCGCTTTGTTTTAGATTTCCAAAGTGGGGAGTTTCCTCTTCACCATACTAGTGCTAGGCTGTAACTGAGCCAGGCTTAAAATCATAGGCGAGGGTAAATGCGGATACCGCTTAGCGGGTAATGGCTCAGATGCACAATGGTGCTCAAATAATAGGTATTTTTACTTTTGGTGTTGCCAACAGCAACTAAGACAGCGTTAGTCCACCATTGGCTGACTGCGCACACATTTACTGGTTAAACACTTCTGAACTAATGCACGTGAAGGCGTTATAAGTGGCTTCAGCTTGATTGTGCCTGGGAACATGATCAAAATGCGTTTCAGATTGCATAGTCTCAGCTTTATAGCGTTCGCAGCTGCCTTGGTATCGTTTTACTTTCTGGTGAACCATGGAGTCCTCCAGTCTAGTGTGTCTAAGCAGGTGAGAAGAAATTGTCAGTAATTCTAATGTTGCTATGTAATGACTAGTTTGTACCTGTTGTTGTTTGCGTTTATCCTGACGGTGGACACGCGTATTACTGATTTGAGTGGCAATACACAAATTCTATCTGCAGCAGCCACGGTTCGGGTACTCGAATTGACCAAACTTCACTTCAAAGCGATGCACCGTCCCTATGGAGACGGCGCATCAAATTCCAACCATGCAACGAGCATTCTAAAGTCACTATTCACTCAGTCATTAACCAATGTGACAAGCGTTACTCGTCGTGACCCGGTGGCTAAAGAAGAAATGGTCGTTACTAACATTTCAGTGTTGTTTGGTTCGAGGCCCATTAAATCCGCCTGATGTGATCAGATGAAGTCGAAAGGCGTAGTGGGGTGAAGTGTTTTCGTTTGCGTAATGTCAATTATGATCTATCCGACGGACAGTCTGCTAACAACCGATGTGTCAATACTGGTTGTTCATAACTATTTTGATCAACTTACAGGTTTTTTCCTTGATCATTGATGTTCCCTTAACCAACGGTTATTGCGCTATTTTTTATTTTTGTCTGCTCATCCCGTTGCAATCTTCCCCAATGTTGTCTCGCCATCGTGTTGCCGTGGCCACTTATATGTGCTGCTGGCCTCTCACTAATGTCGATTCGATGTGAATATTGGGTACACGGCAGGTGACCTCTTGTTATTCATCTAGTAAATTTACCTTCCATAACCGACTGTTCACCGTTTCAAATGGAACAGAGCATGAAAGCACCGCAATGCAGCCATCCAAAGCAAATGTTTAAGCAATTCTGTGGGTCTTTAAAGAGAGCAACTCTTGTTTCAAGCATGTATTTTGCTAATGACAAGTCGATTTTCACGGGATTTGGCAAATTCCAAGGTAGCGACAAGGAGGACTTAAATAACTTAGCTAGAACTCCATCATGTCCAACCATAGTACATATAGAAAAGCAGTTTTATTATCAAGTTGAATTATCCGCTGTTTGCGGTACCTCTGACTTATGTAGGTCTAGAAGGCGCAACTCAATTGTTATCAGCCTTTCGTTAAGATCCATAAGTTATGGAGACCGAGGTGTCTACGTTAACAGATGTGGTAAAACGTTGCTCACGGTATAAGGCTTGCATGTTGCTATTGTAGCGAATTTATTAATTGCTATGTATACGGTACACTACACTACACTGCCAATGATAACTGGCGACTTGGTTAACATAAGTTCCCTGCTCGGTTAGGAGTCTTCTCTTTTCTCTGCTCGGCATTGACGAGCAAGCCATGGGCTAGTGAGCGAAGCTTCATCATAGTTAATCACTAAATCATGTCGACCGGTTGCCCTACTTTCGTATCTCAGTGATTTTAACCACAAGCTAGTAACAGTCCAGTTGCGCGTTAGTGCCCATTATGAGTCAAATGTATTACGCACTGCTTCCGATTCTCGAAAGGATGAAAAAACCGAACGGGTGACGACTGTTTGACTGAGACTAGGTGTATGCGGATGGTTTTGCTTATACTATTGAAAAATTCGTCCAGCGTTTTCCTGTCCACAATTACTAAGCGAAACGCATCTCCAGAAGTATGCATGATTATAGAGTGTTAGTACGACCGCATGCGTTATGAGCAGGCGTTGGTACTGATGATGTGGACGACTCCAGGTATTTGAAAACCTGCTCGCAAGTAGCCGATCTTGTCACGATTCCTGGCGCACCCCAATGAATTTTTAGGCCTGAGGATAAATATGTGCACAAAGGATCGGTTGATCTAGCCCATGCTGAATGCTTGTACGATACTGCGACTGATGTTTGGCAAATTATATACACGTCAGAAGTAATGAGTAGAATATTGGAGAACTTTCGGCAAATTGACATGCAACAATCTTGACGAGGTCTAATCAATGTTCAACTGACAGGGCAAAAAGGGCTCCTTTTACGTATAAAATGCCCAGCAGAGCTAAACTGGTTAAGTTGCGTCAGCCAGAGTTGGTAAAGTGAGCCTAACTCCAATTAACTTCAAAGTTTGTTTATTATCTGTCGATGAGGTACAGCAGTGTCAACTGTCGGCAGGATACTTATGCGGCACAACCGAAATTGGCCGTATCAGAATTGTTCCTTCATGATTTCCTCCGTACGGGCAGCGTCTTCTCAGAGTATTTTCCATCAGCGAAGACCACAAACAACGGCGAATCCATGGTGACCGACAATTTGGTCAAAGGAAAGTATGGCGGTGATATACCGTGAGACTGGCTACAGTAGAATATATATTATAAACGGTGACAAGATTTCTACTGACTGAATAAAGAATGCACTCTGCTAAAAATGTCTAATGTTCTCACCGTAACGCATAAAAATGATGGGTAAACGCGTAGAATACAAGTTATAACGGTTCCTGTTTGTTTGACTAAAGGTAGTCCCTACTGCGCTAAATTCGCTAGTATAGATGGGAAAAGCACGGAAAAAAGACAAAGGCTGGTAGATGGATGCATTTTGTATTGTCTCCTCAGTACCATTAAGAATAAAGGATATGCATAGATAAAGCTAAATGTGGGTGCAACCAAACAAGCATAAAGTGCGAAGCAAATGACGGAAGTTCACACCTAGGTGCAAGGCAGCTTCAGGCTGAAAAATAATTGTTTCTGAACACACAAGGCTGGCTTAATCCGGCTCATAGCGACAGCCACAGCATACCGAAGGAAGCGGGCATTAGCGCGACGTAACACAAGGTTAAACGCTGAGCTCAGCTCTATCCGGTTACCCGAGTCTAATAGGTGTTTGCCTATCAAAGAAGCCGGCGGTCTGAGCGAACATGGAATTTGACGAGGGTAGGTAATCTAAGCAACTTCACGTGGAACCCATCTGGATATATGTTCCTTTATTCGGGAAGACAGCCTTCTGTTAGATTTGCCTATGTAACTATTTCCGCAGTCACACACAAATTAGTATACACAGTGTGAGTTGGCCACAATAGGCTGAGATTCTTTCGTTGGACGTATGCACAAATTTCGGGTTCGGTTGATGACGACAACTTGTGCAGCACAGTAAATTCCTTGTGTAGCCGAAATTATACGCTTTGTTGTCTTCAGCGTGGCGAAGTCATTTTTGAAAGTTAACTTGATATACACTTTCTTCTTATCTTCCGTGTGCACCAAGTTCTTTAGCCCTCGCGTTTGGCTGTTTTTCTCAATAAACGTTCGAGGGTAGTCGTTCGCCATTAGTGTTGCTGTAATTAATACTAGCTCATCATCCAGACAGCCGGCCGAACAAATTCGTCTGGCACGACTAACTACAGTCTTTACAAGTGTTCGTTTGTACCTCACTGGTGTGAAGCTGTTGATGTGCAGGTACTGACCGGACCAAGTTGATTTTCGGTAAATGGACCTCTTAATCAATCCATTCTCCCTGCGAGTTATGGGTATGTCCAGGTATGGCAGACAATTGTTTTGTTCCATTTCGCATGTAACCCGTAAGTTAGCATGAGCACCATTGAGTCGTTCTACCAAATGTTTGAGCTGCTGCTCCGACGAACATAAAGCCAAGCTATCATCGAGATGTCATTTTTAGTAGGGCACCTGGGCTCTTTCAGTAGATATGCTTCTTTCTACCATCGGCATGAATAAATCCGAGAGCACAGGACCTCATGGGCTACCCATTGCTACGCCAATGATCTGACGGTATGGTGTATTCCGGAAGTGAAAATCCATATTCTCCGTGCACAATAGTAGAGATTCTCTTAGCAATTCAGTCGGAATTGGTAGCGAACAGCCACCATTTTCTGCTAATTCGCACACGTACTCAACCTTCTGATGTAGCGGCACATTGGTAAATAAGGATACTACATCCAAGGAAGGTATAAAGTTGTCAGACAGGTTGAGTTCATCCAGGTCATCGATAAGTTGAAACGAGTCTTTAAGACCTTACGCAATGAACTATTGTTTCAGCGGAGCTAGCAACTTCACTAACCAACAAGCGAGTTTATGCTGCTGCGCGTTCATCATTGAAAGGATTGGCCAGAGTGGCACTTCACTCTTATGTGTCTTTGGGGACCCATAAACTGTGGAATATTGTTAACACTAGGCTTCAAACTATTAAATATATCAAAGTATATCACGCGGTGGAGGAGAAGCAATTCTAGGTGACGAAGTATGAGCGTGTTGACAGTGGTAATTTCCACCAATTTCTTGAACTTTTCGAATTTACTCTCATCGTTTATTATGGCGCACATCTTCTCATTATATTCGGTTTTGTTCATGATTACCTCTCTTGAACCTTTATCTGGTTTCATTACGACTAGGTCCTTAGGTCGTAGTTCACGTAAAGCCTGAAAATGTCTAGCAGTGATAGCACATTTTGCATTATTTGGCATGGTTTTCACCTCATGGGTGATATCGGCTGACTTGTCGTTGAACCAAAAATGCTTATCAGGGCTGGTTGGTTGGAGCTCCTTAAACTTGTCGAAAACGTTCTCAAATAGTATTTTAATAAACAAGCCGTTCAACGTCCTAGGGGGACTTTTTAATCAAACCCAAGTGATAATGGTTTTAATTGCAACGCTTCAAGTTGTACGTTCGATAAATTCATCACGTACTTACTGAGGTCACGAGCAATTGCTTCTTCCTCTTGGTTGTTCGTTAGCGAATTTTCTAAACGAGCAGAGCGATTTCGTCTCGTACGATAAAGAGTTGATTTACAAAGTTAGTGTAATATAGATTTGCCAGAAACGAACCGGCAAAGAGCCAACAGCAGGCCATAATAATTCCTCGAAAGAAAAGAAACACTTCGGAAAAGCAGCTGTTTGCGCGCGAGATATGGACACAGAAGCAATGCACGCCATGCAACAGTTAGACACAGAAAGAGTACGCACCTCGCAACGTCCAACTGAAACTGCGTAGGTAAGTAGAATTTTCGTTAGTTCAATCTGAAACATCTAGATCATGCTGTTTGGAACGGCCAGCAGCATCCGCTGCATCTTGGGTCCGTACAATGGGCTCGAAAGGCGGAGCATTTGAAAGCAGTAGCTATTGTTACAATCCTCAACGATCCGAATAGAAATAAAGCTAGTTAACAGTGGCAAGGAATTGGGATTCAAGAAAAGCTAAAGCATTGGTGAGTACGTGCCATCCAAAGATGGAAAAATAAGGAACATTTGACGGAAAGCTGATAGAAATTGTGAAACATGGTGACACTACTTCCAGACTAATATTGTATACACAGCCGAAAAGGTGGGGGTTATATCAACCCACCAAATTACGTGACAGATAAGGTGCAACATTAGCGCGATCCATTGGTATTGATTCTCAGCTGTAAACTGCGGGCCATGCTAGTATCAGCATTTTATATGGAATATGATGTGCACACCTAGAATCCAATGAATGCATCAGGTCCGCTCGTGAGTTGAAATGAATTAGAAAATAGAAAGAGTGGATGTTTTGGCATAATAACCAAAGTAATTTGTTCAACTGCTTGTTCGAAAATCGCCTTCCAAAGTAATTTGGCTTTTTGTCATTTCCACATTTGTAAACACACACATTTGTAGACTATTTTTTCGGGTTCCAAATATTGTGCGGCTTTTCCCAAGCAATATTTGTCGTCATTTGGATCGTTTAGAATATTGTTCATCTTCTCAGTTGACCGACGAAACTTCAGCGTTTTCTTGAGAATGCATAAATAATCGGTACAGCTGCTTTCTTCAGCCAACTTATTCCGTATGATACCGTATCTGAGGCGGCCATGCTCTTGCTTCAGTCTAGTCCTGAATCTGGGTACTGTGATAACACATTATGTGCTCGTATATCATAATCAAATCATATTTGCACTTAGAGGGAATTATCTTCACTGTATTGCCACAGTCGTATTTTTGCGCTTGCTCTTTCAGCAGACAATCGCTCACAAGCCCGTCACATCGCCTCTGATCATTCGCACCCATGCATCTCTGACTGACTTGCTACCTGGTCACGGTAACCTCGTATGCCCTAGCGTTGGTAGGCTGTCCAACAACATGGGCTGCGCCAGCGCAACACTGTCCATAAGATCGCTAATGGGGTGTCGCATTACCGTGTTTGCCGTCCTTCCCCACTGGTGCCGTTCGCAAGGCATGCTCTTACGTCCATGGAATCCACTTATACCCAGTTGCATCACGCGTTTGGACAACTTTGTGCCCCTAAGCTGCGCAGAACGAGCTTCAGATTAGGCACGGCTGCTGAAGGCATGCTAGGCAGCCCATGCGTCAAAACCCCACACTACCATCTCATACATTCATATAGGGGTTATTAATTTTACTTTCATGGGCTGCTTTGGGCTAACTCAATACCAAGGTCACTGCGCGCACTTAGTTCGTAGAAATGATACCGGATGTGATTCAATTGCACTAATGAGTATGTTTAAATGGCTTAAAGATGGAAATCAAAACTTTAGGGAGCAATTCAATTACACTATGGATGCAACAATGGGGTAATTATAGACCCCAATTTCAATTGTTCATTTGTTCTCCGAGCTTGGCGGTTTTCTCCGGAATATTCAATGATTTGTCCGTCGATAACTGAAACCTGTTCGAGGTGTTTTGACAACTACCTGTATTCGAGTAATGTGATGAGGGGGTGAGCTGATGAATGGGGCAGCTGCCCAGGTACAAGCGAAAGCCTTGTGCATGCATAGTGGGAGCGCCGTGTAAGAAAGAGACAGGCGCCGATGTAGTCTGCCACATCGACCAATCGCATAATTCAGGGGCACATGCGGACGCGATTCACTGAGCTAAGCAGTCGTAGTATGCCACCACATTGGCCACGGGAGGCTAGCATGCGAAAAAGGAAGAAACAACTGATTATGAATGTTTGATCAGCACAGCGATTGGTAGTTTCGCTGCGTCCTTTTCCATTCGATTTTGTGAACCAGGCCAATAAGGCGGCTGATGTGTGACGTGTGCCGCATCCTTATTGCAGTTCGTCTGTACGTATGCCTGAAGGTTGAGATTCTTGCATTTCAAGGATTGGTTGTTGATTGATATCACCGGTTTGGCTGCTTGTCGTGTAAAGGTTGTCGAGGTACCTACCTGTCTATTATACCCCTCCTCATTTATACTGGTTTTAGGAGACAGTTGGTCGTTAATGTATGGGACGGGGAGCGGAGTCATCGTGGCCCTGTTATACTTACAAAGTGCAGTGTGGAGCGGACATCGGCCGAGCCACCGCCTTGAGTACTTATGGTATGCATGATCAACAAATTATATAGACAGGAATTCTGCAGCTGTGCGTGTTGCAGAGTTTTGGGCCGACTCCGTTGATGAAACTTGGCTCCTATACACATACCTCCCGTTCTTACTCCTACAATTTTACACTGGGTATGGAGTGTGGGTGGAGCTCCATAGACCATCCATTTCTCGATTCCAATATTGAAATCATTGAGGGTCCTCTGTTTTGCAAATGGTTCGGATGCTCTCCACCAGTAAAATTGCGTGACACAAGTTGCCCGCGTTTTGTAACCGTTCGGATTGGCGAGGCTGGCGGTGAAAGGCACTTTTGGAAGGTCAGCTTGTGACGAAACTTCCAGATACTTTAGACCGTCCTGCAAGTTGTGGACTTTGTCAGCTGTCTTGCGAAATTGACCCGCGATGTTTGCTAATTCGTATCAAGTTACTTTAAATTAACGGAACAAAGATGTTACAATACCGCAAACTTTTTCATCCGTGCTTATTCTGCCATGCAGGTTCCGACAACCCTGACCGATTTGTGTTTTGTAGGAACTAGTGCATCAAACATCCACGAGTAGCATGTTGATTATTTGCAAATATCGCAGTCATTTCTAAAGTGTAGTATAGTTGGACAGTGTGGGCTAATTGTTCCTAAGTGTCCCCTATATGCCCCTGTCACACCAGCTTCGAGCTTCATCCAGCAACTCCTGTAAGCAATCGAATATATCTCAGTTGACTATGGGACAACCCAGTACGAAAACGTTTAGATTTGAGGGGCGCGCACAATTGCATTGGGATAAAATTGCCTGGTTACGGACCCAGTTTAGAACAGGCAGACCGGATGTCTATATTTGCGCCTCATTCCCGTCTCTTTAAGTCATTCGGCAGACGTTCATACAGCGCCGTGGTGTGCATTCGTGAGCTATAACTACGACGTTTGACATCGCAAGGGGCCTGATTCACGCTCATCCACGTGCTCCAATTTAGGTCTGGAAGCACGTCGCTATGCCCTTTAGTCGGAGCGTGGACACAAATTGATCTCGAAGAGAGGAAATGCAGCAGACCAACATAAGTAAATTATTTGCAATAGGACATGAAAGCAACAAAGGGAAAGCTGCAATCACTTGTCCCCAATTTCCTCATAGGTTTTTACGGAGAATAGATAAAGAATACTAACGTGTAGTTTAGATCGATCGAGTGGGGAGATGTGAATGTAAGATTCAAAAGTGTCTGTTCGAGAAGTGGCAACTTAATTTGGGCAAGGTATTCACGAAGCGTCATGCTTGGGTGTTGCCGCCCATTATATTGACCATAAAATGTATTCAAGTAGCTTCTACAGAAATCCGAGTTCTCTCTACCTTTGTTTCTATTTCAGAATTTTGTGAGGAAATCATCCAAATCATCCAATACAGACGAAGCTGTACATATTGTCCAGCTACTCCTGGGCGACGCAACCGTTCACCGATCCGTTACTATGCTCAAAAGTCTACTATTCTTCCAACATCGACTCCAAGCAAACAATGTACACGTAAATTCGACCTCCACATGCTTTAATGACACACGTGAAGAGTACACACGAGTCCCAATTCATGTGCATGTGATTGCGGAGAGGGCAACAATTCCGTTGGTCAGATCCATGTATAGCAATTGGAGTGTTCGAGATTTCTACTGGCAACTGTATGAGATGGACAAATATCTGGTGAGTTGGTTTTTTAGAGGAATATAGACCATATGGAATGATACTGACTTAGCGGATAGGTGAAATCATTACAGACTCGACCATAATGATGGCGAAGGTATAGGCAATTCATAGTTCATTCTTCTTCGGCTCATTTTATACATAGTGCAGAATGCAAACCATCGGTGTTTGAATGAACGTATTAACGAGCCACAAAGTTACTAATGTGTGCTCCTTGAGGAGCTGAAAGCAGCAAAAGTTATTATACCGTTTGAGTAGAAGCCATGAACCATAATTGGTCTATGTGCCGGCTACCCGGAGTGTGAACACAGCTTAGCTTCGAATGCGATATCCCCGAGTCCATACGGTTATCAAGAGCATGATTAGCGAAGCAATGGTTGAGTTTCGTTCGATGGTTGTCATCATTACATCGTTGTGAACAAGGTGGAATTGGGTTACTTATATATTCCCTTGACCACATTCAGAAGAGCAGCAATGAGACAAGGAGCAGGGGTTTCTAGCCGGTAAACATGTTAAAGTTTACCCCATAGGATGCTCCGGATAAGAAGCTTATGTTCAGTAAGAAATGCTGTCAATAGAACAATTCGTACATCAGTGGACTAACCTTTGTATCCATGTTAGGACAAACTTAAGACATCTAGCCTTATTTTGTGGAGAGGCTGGCCAGTAAAATGTTATTTTTGTGACATGTTGCCTCCAAAAGCATCGCTGGGCTGTTTTTACTCAGATTTAATGTGGGTGTAGAAATCATACAAGTTAGAAGAGAGCTATACGTTTGACAATTCCGAAGGGGAAAGATTTCAGCGACGTTTTGACTGTCAATATTGTGCTTCTAACACCGGCTGGTAGCCACCTACATTGATAATGTGGCCACATTGCAGCTGTTGGAAAATGGGCATAAGATTTCTGAAAAGGCTCGTCGTAGCCGGGTCAAGCCGGACGGCCAGCACACATGGACGATAGTGTTGGACAGCCGTTTCATCCTATTGGCATTCGTCAGTAGTGAGCATTCGGCAGACGCTATAGGATTACAACTCATTACCTTACTCTTACGAGACGGCGACATATACCACAAAGCCCCGAGAGGAAAAAGCGAACCGACATGACTGATGTCTAGACCCGACATAACGCCGTTCATGTTCTACTGTATTGCATGTTATGGAAGTGTAGATGGTAATTCTGCCCCCCAAAACTACGACTACCTTTGCAAGCTGGCACCACTTAAATGACATGTAAGATGCCACCGCTTCATCGAAAGCTGGCACCTTAATAGGAGTATACTGAGTAAACAAACCTGCTGTATGCTGCACACACCTAGTCATTCAGTGCAAGTTGATTTAGAAGTCGGAACAAGGCGACATCGGTAGAAGTCACTGTTCATTGTGGGGTTTCAGGAGCAACAGACTAGCGATTCTGCCAGGGGTGCAGGCCAGCCTGGAAGGAAGACCGTCATGGTATACGCCAATGACATTAACACGCTACGCATTTGCCACCTGGTGATGCTTGTGACAGCATTCTTAATGATGTGTCATAATATAAAGGAATTGCCATTTGGTGCTTTTCTCGACGTGAGAAACAATGTCTGGATCTTAATAAACTACTACAATTCATCCTTAACTTGAATCGAAACTCCGCACTTGGGAGTCAGCTTGTGTCCATTTTGTGTTGCGCTACATCCCCACTATTACTACCTGACTGATTATCCAAAGCGATTGTTAGAAGATCGGTATCGTTGCTTACATGCACGAATCAAGGGAGGCAGAATCTGAGTAAAGAATTTTTTTCGGTAATTCTCATCAGACACAAACATTACATGATGTGGTAAAAGTGCTAAATGTGCCGGGTTGGGCTACGTATTGAACAAAATGTTGAATTCCACGGGTACAAATCAATAAATCACGAGGTCATTGGAAGTGGCAAGTGTGTACAGGGGAAATCATAGCGGAAGTTGTAAGCCACGGTAGAAGCATAGGACGTACAAACTGTTTTTGTACGCACAGTTCTGGCTTGAGGTGGCGGATGTAGATGGCTTCCGCAATAGACAGATGATGCGTCCGGAATCCGCGCGTGAAACGTTCAGGAACAGTATAGATGACTCTAAAATCATTTTCCGTTCCTGCGTGACTGCACTCTAGTAGGTGAGATAAGATGGAACTGTTGCTGGACCTCGTTTCGCCTTTGTAAAACCACTTGGGGATGTGTTCGCGAATCCTATGAGATAGGCGTCTCGTGGTACGACCCACGTATCGTGCACCACAGGAGCACGACGTTGTTCTTACTTACAAACCGTCGGATGGGAAAGAAGATGGTGTTGGTCCATTAACATGCCTTTCCTAGCACCTGCAAGTGAACAACCGGAAAACGGTGTATTAAGGATAAAATTGCAGTGCTTAACAAATCACATGGAGTGGAAATTACTGCGAAAATAACATTTAGTGATTAGGTGAAAAGTGTTTTGGTCGAGTCGCCATAGAATTATGTAGAATAGTGGAGACGTTCCCTATTAAAGTGTAAATCCAGTTAACAATGGAAAATGAACAATGAATTATCCTGCGTGAAAAAGCGGTTGCTTAACAAGTCTCGCAGAATGGTGGGCATAAAATTACAATTGTCAAAAGAAAGGTGCGTCGTTCTTTTGGGCGTTTATCTGGCGGATACGCTGCTGAATAATAGTAGTGTAAGTGGGGATTGAATGCGAACGACGAGGCAAATTGTGGAGAGTTATAGTTGTTGTACCCCGTGAGAAAAGTAAAACCGAGAACACTCACTTATGTACCGCCTACTCAGGTATGTGTAATATGTTTGTTGTGTGCCTGGTTCATCCAGCCGCGTCAACAAAGAACTCGCACCTGCTCTGCACTCAAAGGCTGTATTTTCATTTCTGAGGTAAAATACAATTACTGGTTGTTGTTGTGAGTAGTGTAATTATCATAGAAAGTAGAAGCCACGATTAAACTTCGCACAATAACCTGCCTCGACGGGGAATTGAACCCCGAGTGCTTAAAAACTCCTTCGTCAGTTCGATCGATCGTCTGATCGACCACACTGAAGCAGGCGATTCCTTTCACTCCCGCTCTCAGTCACCACCACAATGTTAATCCGAGGTTACACAGTTTAGGCAATGAAGTGATGGGGGCCAACGGCAAAATCCAGACGCTTTTTGAAAACATCCAAGGTGGTGGACAAAACAACGAAGATTGGGAGAGAGTTCCAGGGTTGGCAAACCCGAAGAGAAAAATAATTCCGCCTGTATTGCAGGCGGCTATACTGTGCACACAATTTCAGAGGGAGATTTCTGAGAGTGGCGTTATGGCTGTTTAGCAAGTGAAGGCATGCGTGATTAGGGTCACTCAATATTTGGTAGACTAATATGAAATCTAAATAAGACAATGAGAAGACTGGTATTGAGAGATGAAACCATTTGGTGTTATCTGCTCACTCGTAAACTAATAACATAAATATGAATCACGTGACAGAAAAATCGAAGTTTTGAAACGGGTTACAATTAAAAGGTACCTAGACGCAAGAATAACAGAACAACGAGCTTGATCTTAGGGTCATGAGCCCCAAGGAAGCTTTAGGGAGACTGTTAATTGTTTCTGTACACAAAGGATAGGGTAATGCCGGTTAAGTGCCAGCGCGTGGGCAAACGTCAAATGTTTGAGGTTTTTCATTTCCATAAATATCTGTGAATGTTGATCCAGGTTCAGCCTGATGACCTGTTTCAAGTAGATGTCTGGCAATATATGATGCAGGCAAATTTGATATCTTTTCACTTTCGGCTGCTTGTTGTGTCGATAGTTTAGCAATCAGTTTTGAGATATGCTCTCCAATACACGTACGCAAGGATCGATCTGTTCTGCTAATGTAACAACTTCCGCAGTTGCAAATGAATTGGTAACTACTATGGGTTGTGGCGGAGATCGGTTGAATAGGCATTACTGGAGGCATAGGCAACTTCCTGGCCTCCCAAACGGGCGGAATTTGGCGGCGTTGAATGTCGGACGAATCGCTGTATGCAAAGGTATTTCAAGTTGGGCGGCCAGGATATCACCTACCCTTTGTGTACAGAAACAATTAGCAGTTACCCTAAAGCTGCCTTCTGGCTCGTGAGCCTAAATTAATGCTCGCGTCCACGTACTTTTCTTTTGGGACCAGGTACAAAGTTTCGATTTTCTCTCATGTGATTCATATTTCAGTTGCTAGGTTTCATTTGAGCAGATAATGACAAATGGTTCCATCTCGCCATACCAGTTTTCGCATAGTCTTGTTTCGCATGATAAAAGGAACTAAGTGCTTTAATATGAGCTCACCGCGCAGCATTCCTTAGCGGCATTTGTTTGGTGTTTGGTAAAATGTCGTTGGATTGAGCTTTGTAGCCCCTGGCTAACATATCATAAAATGAAGTGCCAATCAGACAACGCATCGTCAACTCGTTTTATGAATATCATCAGACTGGGAGCAGGTATGACATAATTAGGAAGGACGTTCCAAGGCTGGCACACGTGGAGGGAAAAAATGTCCACGGCAGTCAAGCCGGCTATATTCATATTTTAGTTACAGCGGATGAGCTCTTTAACTAGTTTATGGTTCACTTCCAGCAGCGGACGGCAAATATGGTTTTTGATTCTTCAGAATCTGGCAAACCATTAGGAGATCCGCTCGTTAGAGCATAAATCGACTACTGTACATTCTTAGAGATTTCAGGCTAAGCTGATAGGGCAGATGAAAGAGGCCGCTGACGTTCTTGGTTGCCGCTCGTTTAAGAGTCTCGAGGACAACGAGATCCTGTTTCTGCCACGGCTGCCACGCCTAGACAACATATTTCACGTGCGGTTGCACAAAGGCGTTAAGCATGTGGGGAAACATGGAGGGTTTAAACCGACCGAAAGTTCTGCGAAGCAGGCCGAAGTGTTGATTGCCGGTTCACGACGCCTTCTCTTCATATTTTCAACACCCGAGGTACTGCTGTACCAGTACACCTAGGTCACGCTCCTGAG